GCGCTCCTACCCGCCTCCCCGCTTCGCGGCAGGTGCGCTCACCTTGCGGCCGTTCACGTAGAAGATCAGCTCGGTGGCCGCGTCCAGACTGGCGCCCCGCGGGGCCTGGGGGGCAGAGGCCCGCATGGCGTCCGGGAGACGCTGGTCCCGGTGTGAGCGCTGCTGCCGCAGCCGGGGGGGAGCAGGTCCTTAGGCAGAACCAAAGTTCCGCGAGCGCCTCGCCAGGAAAACTTCCCCGGGACAGCAGGACGTCACTAGCGCTTGTCTGGATGCACTTGCTGGCGAGGAGTGGGTGACCCCTTCGTCTCCACCCCCGTGCTGCTGGGCGTGTGTGCCGCGCTCTTAACTTCTAGCAAGCTGCAGGCTCCATGGTATCTCTTTGGTCGTTTCTATAGCACGTTTCACCGGGCTTTTCAGGTAGAGTTGAAGTCTAGTAATGCTCGACTTCTTGTCTCTTTCTTAACCACCGCTTCCTTTGCAGCCCTGTTCTCTTCCACAGCCACACTTAGTTCAGCTTTGCAGGAAAGGAGCTTGGAGGCAGCGAAAGGTTTCACCATTTTATCTGACAGTATTAAATTATTCACATTTATTCAAAAAATCGATTGCTACGTCGGTATAAACTTATATAAAATAACCACGAAGTTTACCTGATAAATAGAATCATAAAACATCTATGAAAAACAATGCTCGGGAAAGAGTGAAAATCATAAAAATGAAAATCACCCAGTATTTACTTCTGTTAGGTTTTTGGATCTAGCTTTGTATTTTTGAAATCTGGGCAGTAACATCTTTTAAAAACTCAAATGGGACTTACTGTTTCCCAGATTTGTCTCCACTTAACATATGTAGAACACTTTCTGATGTCATTTCATCTATGCAAGCACAAACATTTTACTACGAAAATTTCCATATAAAAATGGAGAGTAAATTAGCACCCCCAAACACTGCTCTCTAACAGCAGTCAACATTCCGGTTCTTTATTATAAAATACCCCTTTGTTTTTGAATGGAGTATTTCAATACCAATTGCAGATACTGCATAGTCCATGTATATATAATAACCCAGATGTAATCTGAAACTGCTCCCACCACAGAGGGAAAGGACACTAAAGGAAAACACAGACCCCAGATTTGGGGGTCAGCATTGCTAGTCAGCTGTTGTTGTTTCTAGACTTTTTCAGTGAAATAAGCTAGAAGCTATAATTTTCAAGAGTGCAAAAAGTACGACTTCCCACTATAGTTCTAACTACAATTTAAGATTGCAAACTTTTTTTTTCAACTTTCTTGGATTTTATAATTGCATCTTTCTCCTATTCTAAAAGTCCTGGTACTGAAACTTTAATTGTTTTAACCTGTCCTTAGAACTGTTTCAGAATAATCACATCAGTATTATGACAGCAATGAGGCTACTGAATGAAAGTTTAGACTTCTTTATTGTTCTTTCCTCAGAGTATTCTGTACTAAAAATACAAATTCAAAAGATTTTTTTAAGGTCAAGGTATTTCTGTATTTGTTACCAGTTTGACAAAGAAATTTTCATTCATTTCAGATGGCATTGTTAGCTGTTCCCTATAAATGATTATTACTTAGGTTATTTCTTTTTTCTATTACAAATCCATCCTATCCTAAGATTGTTTCTTTTTAATATACTTTCCAAAAGATGGAATTGCTGGGTAACTTGACTTTATAAACCTATGTAATTTTGCTGGGTAGTATACAAATCTTTTTCTTTGAAGGTGGTATCATTTTGTATGCTCTGCTGCAATATATAGTAACCAGTTGGGGTTTAAAAAAAATAGTAAGGGGCTGGGATTATTACCACCAGTGAACCAAAAGGAAACCTCTGAGAGTGAGTGCTGCCCAGCCACTGTTAATACCTCAAGAATTAGGGAAAGGTTTGGAATTCAGCTTAGGACCACCTGTGGCCTACACCTGAGGGCTCTGAGTGATACAAGATAGTTCAAGATGGTGCTTCCCAGGGGGCATACTGGTGCTGGGTCAAGGAATGCTAAGCTAATTGGTGACTGTAACTGACAGCAATCTGGTGTGAAGCATTCTGATGAGCTGCTGTTGACAGAAACACGAGCTCACAGGAATGGGCAAGCCCTTTCACCTTCTTTATGATTTTCCGTCTCCTTCTACTGCCCCCTACTGACAGAGGCTATGAAGGAGTCAGCTAGCAAAGAAAGGCGATGGGCAGAGAGGTCCAGGATCACAAAGCAAAGCAGAGATAGGTGGATGTAGCGATGGCAAGAACAGTTAGTATACAGTAAAAGGTGGGTTTTAATCTACAAAAATAAGCAAAATTTGTGTATTAACAAATCTATATATTTCACCACAGCAATGTATCAAGGAACCACCAGCTGTCATCTTTGTGCTGATCCACACCACTTTACTCCTTTGCAAACCACATTTCTCCTTTGCCTGACTCCCTTTTATTGTTCTTTTTCTCAGTGCATGCCTATTATTGTCAGTGCTGTATTCGCTCTCTAATAACTTCTGTGAAGACTGTTTAAGAAATAAGCTGTACTCTGACAGTGGAAGTCAGCCATCACCACCTTGGGGAGAGTGGGACTTCCCAGGCAGGTAAACAGGAGTCCTTGACAGCACTCAGGCTTAGTTGGAGGAGTGGGGGTAAGGGGAGGTAGGTCTTGGATGGAAGGGCAGGAAGAGGATAGATAGGCTGGGGTGCATTAAGCTTTTGGGGAGGCTTTGAGAGGTGGAATCAGGCCCTGCCAGTTCCCTTTTATTTCTAGTGATAAAAAGTGCTAGCTGCAAATTGGAAGAGAAAGAAATTTGTTCATTCCCATCAGCTTCATGACAGAAACCATCTACTCTTATCAGAAAAAATGGTTTCAGTGGCAACAGCAGGCTCCTTCTCCATACCATACCAGTTTGTAGCCTTTCCACCTTAGATCAGTCTTGTCCCAGCCCTTCAAAGAAGCAGCACCAACCTACTGCACAGCCCCCAAAATCCTAGGGGGCTACTTTCAAGGTAGTTTCGACAATTCCATCCATTTCCAGTTAGCTTCAGAAGTGATGGCAATTTATATATAAAGTTTATTTTTACCAATTTTTGTGCATTTTTCCATCTCAGTTGCAATCCCCTTGGGTTTCCCATCACCAAATCACCCATGGTGATGGCACTTCTTGTAGTTACATCCTCTATGATACTTCTGTGCCTGTTTGTCTTTTAGTTTTTATTCAGTTCTCTAGTATATGGTTAATAATTTCTAAAATAATTTGTCTCTTGGTTGTTTACTATTTCCATCAGTGCCAAAGGTGACTTGACAAAATTCAATATCCACTCATAATTTTTTAAAAAATCCAATATTTCAATGTGATTATAAACAACAAGTTCAAAACTCAGCATCAATGGGGCAAAACATGAGGCATTACCATGAAGGAACAGAATATATACACTGTTCCCACTCTTTAATACTTTAAATAGCAGCCATGTGATTAGACAAGAAAATAATGAGAAGGGTAAGAATTGGGAAAAAAGAGAGCTTGCTGGGAAATATTACAATAATGCCAGTTTAGTAATTAAAGTACAGAAACCAGCAAACTTCATAAATGGCAGTGGATCAAGGGAAGATTCCATTTTATATTATCAAGAAAAAAGGAAATATACCTACACATAAATTAATCAAGCACGATACAAAACATCTATGGGGGAAATTTTGAAGCTCCCTTGAAGTCTCTATAATTTAAAAGGGTATGATACTAGGACATAAAAGTATACACAGACCAGAAGAGGAAAAGAAAATACTGACAATTTTAATTGTATATGGAAATACATTTTAAAAGGTGACAGAAGTGGAAAACATGAGCTTTTTAACTAATGGGGAATCATCTGGAAAAGGTCAAAAGGCATTTATACTTCACACCCAACAAAATCCACATGAATCATAAACATGTATAAAAAATGAAATCATGGTTGAATTTGTAAATTGGGATTAGAAAGGTCATTTCTTATTGTGACTATTTTTCAGCAGCAGCAAATGGTTGATAAATTTGAGGACATAAAACGAAAAATAATTTTTATGGCAAAGGGGAATAAAAGGATGTCTCATAAAAATCAGGAAAGATATAAACAATAGAAACAAGACTATAATAGCCAGAGAATGTCTCTAATAGGTCTAGCCTTAAAATAGGAACACAGGAAAGGATACAAAAAAAGATGAGGGTGCTGAACTTTTTTAAAGTTAAATTTATTTATTTGTATATATTTTACATTGTTGTTCAATTTTGTACAATATTTGCTTTCCCCTCTCAGGTGCAGTCCTCAGAAAAATCGCACCACCAAACCACCGTTGCTCCATCACTGCAGTCCCTTGTGCTCTCCCCTCCCCCTCCCTGGCAGAATGTCTCTGATTTATAGTTGCCTGTTAACTGTTATTATTTTTCCTGATCTCACACTACCTAACTCTTCACTGCTCTATAAAGTTTTCCTTTTTAATATAGACTCTGGCCTCCACTCACCCCAACTGCAAATATTTTGAGTAAGCTCTAAGAGACTGTATTCTTACATCAGTTTCTCAAAGTTTGGTCCTAGAACAATTTGCCCCATAATTTAATCACATGAAGTGTTTGTTAACAATGCAGATTTCCACCCTTTTAACTCTCAGGTATTGTCAAAGAAAGTTTTTTCATCCGGGCAGAACAGTCACTACGGTAACTTTTTTGAATATGGTGATGTTCAGTGATCTCAGATATTAATACACTCTTTATTACTGGAATAGTAAACAATCTTTAAATAAATCCACAAAAATGCAGGGTGTTTGAAGAGACAACTTATCAGATCACAATATAATAGAAGTAACATATAGGCTGACACCTAACAAGTAATTCTGAAATAATAATTGTTAAGAGAAAACTGGCCAGGGCAGGAGGCAACTTTTAAACTCTTATAGATGTGTTGACATTAATAGATAGTTTAAAACAAAACAAGATAGCTAGATATACAACAAGATAATCAGGAATATTTAGAATACATTTATTTGATTAAAAAGATAACAACTATTATTTAATTAAAGACTCTTAATGAAAGAAGTTTAAATGAACAAGAAGGTAAGACAGCCAAAATGACCTGAAATTTTTAATATTATAAAATAGCAATTTTGTGCAACTATACTTTAACATAGGCAAATCAGCACTCCATGAAAAGGCACAAAACAAACCAAAAAACTTCCAACACTCTTCATTCCATGTTTTATTTGTTTGATCCTAGTTATATCCCTGTTATGACTCGTTGTTTTGAGACTTCAGAAAAACCAGAATCTATAAATTCACCTCATCTTCTCATTTTCCTGAAAAGTAGAAAAAGGGCAAGATTACCAATGACACCAAACTAATGCTTTTGTTTTTCAGCATGGAGAAAATTGCTGCCTCGTAACAACAGGAAGCAGTTTTCTCAGACCGTAATCTTTGCCATATGTTGAAAAAAGTGGTAACAGTGGGGATTATATGGTTTAAGGAAAATCAATGTAGATTTTATACTGAATATTTTACTATATTTCCTTTTTATTATTAACTTTAGCATACATGTAAAATAATAGAGGAAGGGTATAATTTAAGAACAATTAAATAAATGCCAAAGCACCTAAAACAAGAAAATATTACCACAACTGAGGCCTCCAATGTGTGCCTGACCACCCAAGAAGTAACCACAACACTGGCTTGTGTTAATCACTCTCTTGCTTCACTTTACAGTTTTTACTATCAGGTGCATTCTTAAAAAGCATATTGTTTGGTTTTATCTGTGACTTTTAGATTGACAGGAATATTCTGTGTGGAATGTAAACTGGCACAAGTCTTTGGAAGGAAGTGGGCAAGTTCTAATAAAATTATGTATTTTTTTGCCCCAGCAATTCCATTTTTAGGAATTTATCTAAATTCCCCACCAAAATGAAAAGACATATGACCAGGACTACAAGTGTGGCTATTTGTAATGGAAAAAAATTGGAGATAACTTAAATGTGCATACAGGGGAATGGGATCAAATAAACTATAGTATACTTATATACAATTAAATATTATCTAGCTATTAAAAAATGAGAAAAGTCTGATTTTTCATAGATGAAAAATGAATTGAGTGATTTCCAGAAAATATTGTTAAATTAAAAAAAGAAAGTTCAACAGAGTAGATGTAGGATAGTACCTTTACATAAGGAGAAAGGGAATATACATCTGCTTATTTGTGCAAAAGAAATACAAGAATGACAAACCAGAAACTAAAGAAACTAGTTTCACCTAGCACAAGAGATAGGTGAAAAGGACAGAATGGGTTAATGGGAATGAGGCAGCAGGCATCAAAGTATTTGATACGTTTCTGCATATACTATTTTATATAGCTTTGACTTATACCACCCAAGAAATGTTTCAAACGCCCCAATATAAACAATAATCCTACCAAGATGTGGAAAAAGAAAGTGGAATACAAGCAATGATATATGTACCTGAATTAGATTAACTATGCTGAAAGGAATGCATGTGAAAATTACTAATCTGTGACAAAAAGATCATACCAAAATGTTGTTTCTCACAAGAATGTGGGATAGCAATTCTGAAACCAAAGTGTATGCTACAATTGAATAAACAATGTATTACAGATAATGAATGTCTGGCTTCTCACTGAGATATTATGAATTAGCAAAGCTAAAAGGAATCCTGTGGGAGTTGGAATGGAATCAGAAGTTTACTATACATAAACACAGATAAATGAGCATGAATTGATTAGTATATATACATATATTTCCTAGTTTTCTGCTGAGAGTAATGATCTTTAAGAAAAACCATTCCATGACTCTTGCCTGTTGGTGTTCATGCCCCTGTATGAATGAATGGGAACTGTGACTTGCATCTAACCAATAGAATATGGCAAGGGAGATGAGGAGTCTTAACTCTGAGATTGCATTTCATTAGATAAGATTCACCCTGCTGTAACATTTATCACTGAAAACTTACTTTCTGAGACTTGGCTCTTTAAAATAAAGAGGAGCACACCTTCTTCTTTGTCTTGTCAGCTCTAATGACAAATCTTCTGACCTATTTTCAGATTTAGTCATGTTATTTGATACAAAACTAGTATTTGTCAAGTCCTGTAGTGTCCTATCACCTGAAAAGAAAATTATATTCACAAATACTTGTCAAAATACATAGATGGAAAAAGATGTTATAGTGGTTTGCAAGTTACTGGCAGCCAATTTTTAAATTTAGAATCAAGTTATAACTTTTAAATATTAAATAGTAGTACTGAAAATATTTATAAATCAGTTTAATTGCTTTTGAGTGATACTGAGAGGAAGACTTAAAGTTTGAAACAAACTACCATAGCAGCCTGCAACATCTTAGCTCTGAAACCACACATAGGCTAGGCAGAATTCTTCAAGCCATTTACAGAATCACCCAAATTATTGCATTCATTCAACATTATCATCAACTGCATACTCTGTGAAAGGCATCATGAGAAGTGGAAAAATGAAACATTGCTCATAAGTGCACTATCATATTCTGCATCTTTAGACCTCTGTATTGCTTTTGCTTCAATATTTTTTACCTAGAATAGCCTTATCCATCAAATTCCTGGTGTTCTGCATATA